GGTGGCGAAGTGGCATTGACAGGAGGAGTGGTGGCGTTGGCTGGTGGCGAAGTGGCATTGACAGGAGGAGTGGTGGTGTTGGCTATTGGTGACAATGTGAAATTGACAGGATAATAACATCAAACTTGGTACATGTCTGCCTTGTGACAAGGCACACTGACTATGAAAACATGAACTGTATTGCACCACCTGGTGGTCAGTTATAGGCATTTATGTGATCTATTTACATTTTCATTAATAACTCATGAGCCTAGAAAAAAAGTTTATTTTTTCTATGGATTTCTTTGACGCTTTCGAAGGTTGTTGCCATTGGGAACGCCCACTTCTGTCTACTAGATTGAATTTTTTGTAAAATGCTTTTTTCACTCCCTATACTTCATCCAATCTTCACCAATCCTAGTATAGCCTCTATTTGGAGTACTCAGGAAACAATGGTACCACTCGTTCTCCTTACCATTCTCCTGCTTTTGCCTGCCAAAGATGAGTGGGCCGGGTCAAAAGATGTCATACTATAACTCTCCACTAAAATATCCAAAAACAACCAAAATTGGATCCTAGGTCCAGGACCACACTCTGAGTGGGCCTGTAAAATTGTGTTCACTTTCACATCTTGGGGGCAGTACAGGTGCACTTTATGTTTGAAACATTATAACTGCAGGAAAGACATGAATGCAGGTCCTCCTTGTTCATACTGTTTAAGAAACTCGTGTATGATTATTACTTTTGACATACAGTACATTGTCACTCCATTTCTGTCTCTGTCTCTCTCTGTTATTTATTTATCTCTGTTCTTGTTTTTCTCTGCCACTTGCTTTGCTCTAGGACTTTTATGTCTTGTGTTGTATTATATCTCAATTCAGCCAAATTCCAGATCATTCTTTACATAATATCTCAACATTCTGTCACTGGGTCTTATTTCATCACATGTGGACAAGCCTTGTGCAGCTGTGTTATGTAAGTCCGACCTACAGCTCAGTCATGATACCACGTGGCCCAGTAGCTGAGGGGAGGTAGTGGTAGCGATCGGCTCACACACCTAAAATTTCTTCAGAAATTTTTAATTCTCTAGTGCTAGGCTTTATATACCATATAATCAAACATCTAATCGATGTTGATATTGTATGCCTGTAGTTCAGATAACAGAGTGTTGATGATGCAGTATACACTTTGAATTCTTTAGATATAGCAATGGAGTGTTCTTAGCAGTGTGGATGGCATAAAGCAGATGAAAGAACATTCATTACAACCATAAGGGACTTGAGACTTGACCTGGACTTGCAAAAAGTGACTCATGAGCATTTCTGATGATAATACCTGGTGAAGGAGGTGTTGATGCTGCAGCAGTGGGTGGGAGTTCAGTGGGAGGCAACACAACTGTAAATAATGAAAATCAAACACTTGATTGTATTTTCTTTAGAATATATTAACATACCTTACATATAAAATTAAATGAAGTATAACAATATTACAAAGTTTGACATTTGATGAATATATGATAATGAAATAAAACCCTACCAGATGCATTAATAGATGATGTGTTGACAGTGAGGTTAAAATCTGGACCAGAAGCAGCAACCACCAAAGTTTGAACCACAGAACTGGCATTTGGTGTTGTAGACTCATTGTTGAATATCAGGTCAGCTTGTACCTCAATGGATCCTTGTCTGTAACAAAAAAGTCATTTTTAAAAAAATTCTATAACCTTATTTGGCTATTGTAACCATTATTGTTTGACTCATGACAAGGATAACTGATATTATTATGAATAAAATAAACTAATAACTCATAAATACCTATGATAAAATCATAGGATAATAAACAGCCAAAAGTATCAAAATAAATTACAACATCCATTCTCTTTTTATCTGAATAGCATGAAAAAAATTAATACATTAGTAAAAAGTACAAACTTTTTAAAATGTGAAAAAGGAAAAGAAATGTTTCATACCTGAAACTTCTGACGATAGTTCGATTGAAGCTGTTTCCATACTTTTCTGAATAGACCCGGTCAAGCTGTGAAGGAATTTAGTTAAAAAATTATTACATTTGTAAATACGTCAGAGGGAAGTTGATAAGCCACAATTACATCTTTTTTCTCTTATTGCATTTAGTTTTTTCATAGAAGTTCACTGCTGTTGAAAAATAAGTTGAATATCTGAATTTCTTCTGTTCAACAATGACAATTTCTTCTGTCATTAGCCATGTTTTTTTTTTAAACTGTTTGTAGGTCATGTGTTAAAACTCCCATTAAATTATTCTGATATGCCTATGTCTTCCATTGTGTATTTAAAATACAACACTGTTATATTCATACTTCTTAAATATATATATATGTATATGAAACATGCTATAGTGTTTTGACAACTCATCTCCACTACAGGCCTATTTAGAATTTAATTCTAGAAAGATGTAAAAAACAATTAAATAAAGAGAAAGAGAAGAAACTAAAGAAAAAGCAATAAAACAATACAAAACATCTGAACTTACCTGTGCGGTTACTTTGTTACTTAATTCCATGAACTCTGGTGAGGTAGTGTTTGCAAGTTCAGCTTTAAAGGTTTGTTCCAACTTGAATCCCAACTGAACTATTGGCATTCTTGGTGGGACAGCTCTAGTTGGAGTGGCAGGAGCATTAGGGCCAGGTGTACTGTTAGGAGCTGCAGTTGAAGAGGCGGGAACATTAGGGCCGGCAGTACCATT